GAATGTGAGCATTTGCCCACTCAAGTCGGTTACGACGACGAACTGCAGTCAGGTCGAGACCCCGATGAGGACGACGAGCATGCAGATGAGCTTCCCTGAGACGTTTCTGTCAGTTTGTCTTTTTATTGTGGCCAGCCTAAGGCACACCTGTGCAATAATCATGCTGTCTAATCAGCATCTTGATATGCCACACCTGTGAGGTGGATGGATTATCTCGGCAAAGGAGAAGTGCTCACTAACACAGATTTAGACAGATTTGTGAACAATTTTTGAGAAAAATAGGCCGTTTGTGTACATAGAAAAAGTCTTAGATCTTTGAGTTCAGCTCATGACAAATGGGGGCAAAAACAAAAGTGTTGCGTTTATAATTTTGTTCAGTGTAGAAGCTGAGGAGAGATTGTGTAGTTCAGTTACCATTATTTCTGTTTTCTGAGTAATCATTTGCATTCTTGATTCAGTTTGGTTGATGCAAGGCTTTTTAGGCTTTTTCTGTAAGCGTGCAAGTAGTTCCAGGTTTGTTGCGTTAAGAGTTGCTTATCATCGGTGCAGATCTTTTAGATATCACACTTTGACATGCTTAATGTTCTTTCAGTGGAAATGATTGCTGATTTAGATGATAAAAGCATCTGTTATCATTTCAGGAAGAGTCACTCCCGTTCTCACGGATTCAGTGAGACTCTTGGTCTTTACTGAAGCTTGAGTTTTGAGTGGAAAGTGATTTATAATTTTTTGGATGACAGGCAGTTTGTATTAAATGAAAAATGTAGGTTATGCTTAAAAACGGCAGACATTGTGTGTATTTCAGTGACCTGACAGGCTAAGCATTTAAAGGGTTAGTTCACCCAAAAATGAAAATTTGCCCATAAATTACTCACCCTCAAGTCATCCCAGGTGTATATGACTTTCTTTCTGCCCTGTACAGTGAAAACCGGGATTCATCCGGGAAGAGAACACCTCTCCAAAGTGCCAGACGCCATCGAATGTGAGCATTTGCCCACTCAAGTCGATTACGACGACGAACTGCAGTCAGGTCGAGACCCTGGTGAGGACGACGAGCATGCAGATGAGCTTCCCTGAGACGTTTCTGTCAGTTTGTCTTTTTATTGTGACCAGCCTAAGGCACACCTGTGCAATAATCATGCTGTCTAATCAGCATCTTGATATGCCACACCTGTGAGGTGGATGGATTATCTAGGCAAAGGAGAAGTGCTCACTAACACAGATTTAGACAGATTTGTGAACAATTTTTGAGAAAAATAGGCCGTTTGTGTACATAGAAAAAGTCTTAGATCTTTGAGTTCAGCTCATGACAAATGGGGGCAAAAACAAAAGTGTTGCGCTTATAATTTTGTTCAGTGTAGAAGCTGAGGAGAGATTGTGTAGTTCAGTTACCATTATTTCTGTTTTCTGAGTAATCATTTGCATTCTTGATTCAGTTTGGTTGATGCAAGGCTTTTTCTGTAAGCGTGCAAGTAGTTCCAGGTTTGTTGCATTAAGAGTTGCTTATCATCGGTGCAGATCTTTTAGATATCACACTTTGACATGCTTAATGTTCTTTCAGTGGAAATGATTGCTGATTTAGATGATAAAAGCATCTGTTATCGTTTCAGGAAGAGTCACTCCCGTTCTCACGGATTCAGTGAGACTCTTGTTCTTTACTGAAGCTTGAGTTTTGAGTGGAAAGTGATTTATAATTTCACAGGACTGCATTTTTGGATGACAGGCAGTTTGTATTAAATGAAAAATGTAGGTTATGCTTAAAAATGGCAGACATTGTGTGTATTTCAGTGACCTGACAGGCTAAGCATTTAAAGGGTTAGTTTCTCACGTTACCATCATCATGTCATCGATCAGATGGTGTGAGATATTCAGCGCAGCTCCAGCATTAGCATGTTTAAGTGCTCATGAGTGTCCACACACGCTTAGTATTCAAGAGCGGCGCTAGACGGCACATGCGTGTCACCTTCAGCGAGGGCAGGCTTTATTGGCTCAACACAGTTCCAA